CGAAAACACTACGAAGGGGAGGTCATAAATTGCGACAGCACCAACGTAAGCCATAAAAACAACAAATCGAGGCATAAATGGCAATCCAATTAATTAAACAGTCCCCGTCGAATGCACCTAATCAGTTCGTAATCAGCAAAACTGCAACACCAGGGCCCCTCCCTGGTGGCTTTGCTCGAATTTCTAATAATCATTATGTGTGTTAATTGGTTTTTTAGCCAGCGGCGCGTGGTCAAAAAGTCAGTTAGTCCGACACGCAATGCATAATCTATTTAAAATTACGGCTAATTGAATTTCACAATTCCAACAACGAACCATTACTAAATAATCATATCTTTTAAACAATGTGCTCTATTTAGAATGGCTTTAATACTGAATTTTAAAGTGTTTTTAATAGGCTTTCTATGAATTTGCAGTTCCAGGAATCAAGGACCGAAAATAAAACATCAGAATGATTCGCGGAAACGGAAACCTGAAAAAGGCTTCAGCAAAGTCCCTGATTTGCGGGGAAAAATTATAAATTTATAAATGCCGTGGACGGCGATTAAACCGTTTCTAAGCGATAGCCATTAGAAAGTTCTGAAACAAAAATAAACGGTATTGCTGAGGGCCCCGACTATTTGATACTCACTAGGGGCGAATTTAGGAGGGTTTCGCGTGCTAAACACAAGTGGTTAAAACTATGCTATACAAAATTCGTTTTAAAGACTAAATCCTACTATATTCTATCAAGTCATATATGTATATATATTGAATTCCTTGAAAATGAAAGAGAAAGTGTTCCATTTGCTGAAAGTCGGAAGCTTATATACCCTTTTATTACTGTGTACAATAAGAGGATAGATTCTCTAATAGAATTTGCTTATAAGTATGATGTTAGTGTTGGTAGATTTGTCGAGCAGATATCTTCCGTTACGAACTTTCAAACAAATCATAGCACTCTTTGCGAAGGTGGAAAAATAGAATAAGATTAGCATGCTGAAAAGATAACTGTTGAGAAAACAAGCGAGTAAACAGCGAATTTGTTTTTCCTACCCCAACAGCTGCAGCTCATCATCCCAGCCCGCTCGTCCATCAATCAAAAGTGTTTTTATTAGCTTTCCCATTTCTTTTTTCGCCCCACGCTCCACCGGCTTGTTTGGGCGGTCGCTTTGATTGCCTTTCAGGCGCAATAACATCAAATCAGGGGCTTTTTTGTTCGTATAACTCGACGCATTTGTCGTGTCAATTATTTCAGAAAAATCAACTCAAATTGAGGCGTAAATATTTTGATTTCGTTACATTCGTCTGACAATTGTGATGGCAAGTGTCAAGTGCAGCTCAATAAAAGCGTACTTCGACAATCGCAAACGTTCTGTTTGTTTACTTCGTTTAATTGTTCGCCCGCTTGTTATCGCAAAGAAACTTTTTATCACTATCGCAAAGAAATCCAAAAGCAAAGCAACCAAATATGTTTTATGACTGTGTCTGGCCCACCACCCACCACTCACCACTGAGAGCTGGAAACCAACTTTTTGTTTTGCCGGCTCGCATGGCGTATGCGTGATACCGAATGCAATTAGTCGAAGGTCAGGAGTCGCCCCAGGCCCTAGCTCCCATTTCGATTGTTTTCTAATCGAATGCCAGATAGTAACCGGAATCGGCTGCCCCATCCCCATCTCCAGTCTGCCCAGTGTCTGAGGCCTGTCAAATGCGATGACACTCCGTGTAATTACTGAGCAATTAATGCTGGCTCTGCCAACATGAGTTGTGGCTCTTTTCAGGTTTCGTTCTTATCTACAGTCCGGCCCAACCGTGTAGATCTTTCGCAGCCCTCGACAGATGTTCGGCGATGATGTTAGTGGGCCCCCTGACACAATGTCGCCCCTTGTCGCTGGCTCCCTTTTGTGATGTGTTTTACGCTTGTGTCCCTGTGCTTCGTGTTTCGCCTTCTTCACCCCTACTCCGGTATTTTATCCTATTTATACCCGGTACTCGTAAACTGTAAAGGGTGTTTAAGAGTCGAGGAGATTTACTTTGCGGAGGATTATGAAATTTCAGCACTAGGAAATATTTTATGAGTCTAATTAAGTTGGTAAATAAAATAAAATCTATAAGGTTATGCCAATAATATTATTTCTATACCCAATAGAGGTCGTTTAAATATTACGTAAGCATAAATAGTCGGGGGTCAGAGAGAAATACATTCTTATTTGAAACAAACTCATATTTTTCATTGAAAATTTTAAAAATCGTCAAGCCTAGCATAGACACTCTGATCCGCAGTTGACTTGTTTCTTATATTTTTCCATTATAGCCCGAAATTGCCCAATAATGTACATAGTTGATATTTATGTTCAATCGTCGCCCTTCAAGTAGGCAATCAAACTTGTACAGCTCACAAATGGATTCTTGTTACCCGATTAGTTCTTCAATAAAGAGTTGAATATTTTGGAATCGCTACATTGACAAATGCATCTGAAAAATATACGCTTTTATTAAACCTAATGTGACCGTTAGCCGTAATTGGTTTTTGAGAAAGCGGTCCTAAGTGATTTTGATACCCATTAATTGGTGGGTAAAAGGGGATAAACATGTGCAAATGTAGAAAGAAATCTTGCATATTCATGATCAGCATCAAAAGCAAAGCCAATTCACTTATTTTCGCCTGATCTTGATATAATTTTCGAGCAAGATATTTAAAGTAAGGGCTGGTATTCAACCTAACAAAAAGTCGTTCAAAATAAAAAATTTCATATGAAAAAAACATCAAGAAATATTATTTCATATAAAATTTATTGTTTTGGACGACTTTTTGTTAGGTTTAATACCATCCCTTAGCCAGAAAATAAAGAAATGAGTGGTTTATTGTCATTAAAAGCTGAAATTAAATCACTTGGTCGTATCTCTCGCCTGCAATGTTCTCTTTTGTTTTAATGACACGAATACTGTCCCGGGTATCTCATAGTCGAGTGAACTGTGCCCGCCTTTTTGTTATACTTTTTATGATGTGCCTCACACACGCACAGCTCGAAAAGAGAGTCGAGACCGAGACCCAAGGCGCCATAACTGCCAACACGTGTCAAAATGAAGTGAGTCAATGGGGCTGCGGCGCCGCGTGGGAAAGGGGGTGGCAGGGTGAAGGGTGCTCTGCGACCCTGACCTAGGCAAATCGTTTTGAGTGTCAAAGGCTGGGCCTGATGTCGGACATATGCAAATGTGGTGTGGAGGAATGGGGAGCCGGAGGGCAGGACACAATCCTTGCCTGAGGGCAAGTAGCACCAGCGTTGTTGCATATTTAAAGGGGTTTTAAGTTTATTGTAGAGCCGACCTCCCCCCCCCCCGCACTACCGTTGTGGGTAAATACAATATTTACACTTTTAGAATTTATTTGAACACGTTTTTGCATTTGCCTGACCCAATAGTCTGGCACAGTCGGGCAGCTGTCACGCTGTGACAACATTTTATCAGCATGTTGGTCCTTTTTCCTACTCCCCTGCAGCCTGGTTTTCATGTTAGTGGAAATCAAACCGAAACTGTAAATGATTTACAGCTCCGAGAGCCGAGAGTCCTTCGGCCGATGCTCATTCAATTAGCCGGACCCCGTTTTTGATGGCCCATTCGCCCCAGTTTACGGCCTGGTTTAGGGTTACTCCGAAACCCTTTCAAGCTGTTGTCGGCCAGCCATAAAGAACATAAAGTAAAATCTTACGATAGTGTTTTGTTGCTTCGATTGGGTTCAGATTAGACATAAGTGCCGGGGAAAATTTTCAGCAGTTGAGGTATCCCCCCAATCAGCAGGAGCCGTTGAAAAGCTTACGCAATCAAAACAAAGCACTAGACTGTAAAGGGCCCCTAGTGAGCACCTCCCCTGATTGCTCATCGCTCCCGAGGCATCGTATCAGTGTGTCAGGGGACCCAGAAGCCCCGAGACAATGGCTTCACGCCCAATCGTCATGACTCGGGGTGCCATCATTTTCCCCTTCGCTGAAATCAACATTAATCGACGCTTATCGGTCAATAGACTGCCAATTTTTAATAGCGTATTAAAAAAAATATTTTTTTATGAACACGAACGTCTGTTAAGCAGGGTGGACCTTAATTTCTAATTTAAAGACATGGCCACATTAGGGCAAACTATGTAAATTTCTATCAATTGTCAGCTCACATACATTGACCTATAATTCCTAAGACTATAGCCTTATAAGGCCTTGATTTCATATAGAACATACATTTTTCGTAGCACATTGCACACTGTCTCAGGCTCTTTTATATTTAGTCTATCTGACTTAGCTTTTCGATATCCGCTATATCTGATCTGATTTGATATATACGATTTTCTTTGTTCTGCGAAAACAAAGGTGGAGTAGCGCTATCTACAAAGGTTTCCCACTCTGAACCAGTTTCCAACCAGTTTCATCCCTGTTCATTGAAACCTACTTTATATAGAACATACAATTTTTGTTGCACATTTGCTTGCTTTTTCTATAAAAGGTCTTAGGCTCCTAAGAAAATGGTTCATTTATATTTAGTCTATCTGACTTAGCTTTTCGATACCCGCTATATCTGATCTGATTTGATATCTACAATTTTCTTTGTTCTTCGAATGCAAAGGTGGGGTAGCGCTATCTTCAAAGGTTTCCCAATCTGAACCAGTTTCCAACCAGTTCCATCCCTGCTCATTGAATCTCCTGACCCGAGCACAAAGAACTGATAACGTTTGATCAGCAATCAAAGGTCCATTTGCACTGGCACAAAACCGAGACGGACTTTGCATTCAAGAACTTTTCCACCGGCATTAGACGAGTCGTAAAAGCACTGCCATCGCACTCCGGTTATATAAATAGACCTCACTCACAGGCTGTCGGGGTCCGTGGGAGCTAACCGCTCGCCAGGCGTTTCTGGAGAAGCCGTTGCGCAGGCTCTGGGCCAGGTTAAAGCTGTTGCGCAGCATATTTGGCAGTTGGTATACGGATCAGGATCGAGTTATAGGTGGTACTCGGATGTTTCACAAATCTCGGGACGCGCACGGAACCGCACCGCAAAGCCCGACAAGTTCTACTGAGGCGAACCAACGAACTGACCGCTTTGGTCGCTGGTCGAGATAATGTGGGGCAAACATGTGTAATTGTAAGTGTACATTGCGATTGCGATTAAAATTTGGTGTACGGCGGACTCTCTGAAAGTGTTATCAATCAAAGCAGCTCCTACGCTCTGGGACTCTCCGATTGTGACAAACATTGGACCGGAGAGAAGGCGAGGGGGGCCTTATCAAGTGGAGCAGCGACGGGAAGGGCGCTTATCTGGCGGCTTGGTGTTTGCTAGGCCATTAAGGCAGTACGTTTGGATGGTGATGATGTGCAAGGTATCTCGAAAGCCCCTCGATACAATCAATCAACGACGGTCCTCCACTTGAACCGAAACACAGTTTACTATTTTGCACACTGAATTACCCATCAAATATCATTGCCACTCCTCGAAAGTTGAAGCACTGAAAAAATACCCATAAATAACAGGCAGTTGCAAATATTAATTAACTGCTGAAAATGTCAGCTTGTTTATTTCAATGGAAAGCCCCTGCCCCTGTCCCCTCTTCTCTGCAAATTGACAGACAGAGAATTCCGACGGGCGCATAATCAGTGCATATTGTGTTCAACTATCCTGCAGCCTTTCATTTAATTATTTCCACAAAGCAGCTCCATCAGTTGTCGGGGAAACGACTTTCAGATGACCTGTGAAAAGTGAGGGAAAAACTCACCTCAAAGCGCCTCTATGAGCTCAGCACATCCGGAATGGATGGCGGTAAACAGCAGACCAAAGCCGTAACAAAAAGCAGGACTGACACCCGGACACAGAATTATTTTCATAATTAAATGACATTAAAAAGTTTTGTTGCAGCTTTGTTGCAGCCCCAGCATAGTTGTGTCCCGTCGTGTCCTGTGTATTGTCCTCGATTGCCATTGCAATGCATAGAAAAGCCATAAAATACAATGCCAAATGGCAACAGGCCTCTGGAGAGGCGGGGTTAGTGGCCTGGCTGGGTCGGAATGGCAAGGGATGGGGCTGCCTGGGGTCAGATAAGTGCAAAATTATGTCCCCGGCTTCCTTCGACTCCGCAAAAAGTGGTACAAGTTTTTCAATCGAATCCCACCATTGTTTATGGCTGGAGTTTGCTCGGTTTTGTTCTAGTTCTGACCTCAGGTCGCAAGAACTGGTGAAATTTATACTAGAAGCCTGGAAGTTAGTAAGAAGCCAAGAACATTACGCATACGCCAAGTAGGCCACTGGCAGAAATAGCTGTCAAGTCGACCGGAATGCTTTGGGATGATTTGTATTACGACTGTAGTTGGGTTTCTTCAGGCCAGGCAATAAGAAATCATCATAACTCTCTGACGCTAGTGTCTTTTTTTAGGATCCTTTCCTTGCCACTGGTCGAAAGAACAAAGGGAAAAACCTATTGAACTCTGAAATTGTTTAAAATTGATATGTAAATATCTGGTTCTTGTTATTCTTTCATCTGGCTGACTGCATTGCATGCCGTGTATCAAAGAGTTTCCCAATTAATTTGTTCCGGAATTCCGATCCTTTGTATTGGATAACTGCAAAGCGCCAACAAAGTTGTGCATAACTTCGGAACTCGAGGACTATCGGTGTGCCATCGAATCGATATCGCCCTTCCATTTGACCAACCGAATTCATTACTTAGTGCTGTTCTTACATGCCGTGCTTTCGTTTCTTTTAATCTTGTGCTTCAGCACTTTGCAAACCAAAGACAATCCACATCCTGCGGCCATAAGTTCGTCCTGGCTGCTGCTCCGTGGCGTCCTTCCCCTAATGTATGCGCCTTGCCAAAGTAAGTCCTGCCAGTCCTTGGCGCAAGGACTCCCACTGCCACTCGCCTGTCACTCCCCCCTCTTTTTGCCCAGGCAGTGAAAAATTCACTTACAAAACACTTACGCCGACACCTTGCCACGCCCCCGCGCACACACACTAGCAGCGAGTGGGCGCGGCGAAGGAAACTTGTGCATTGCTGCAGAAACTTCATCAAATCCAAGCTAATCACACTTTGATTTGCATTTTGTAACGAAGAGGAGCGAGAACTTTCCGAGCAAAAAGCGCATCGCCACCACGAGCACTTAACTCTAAGCGTTGCCCCGACATTGATGAATGAAGTAGCCCCTCCCCCTCCCCCTTTAGCACCACCCACCACCCACTGCCCTCGCCTGCATCTGGTAATTATGCTAATGAGATGTCTTCAGTTAGAAGGGAAGTAGACTTGGCTGCCTCTGCCACTTGAGTTAAATGCAATTAATTATATTTTTTATGCCACCAAGGCCCTTGGGGATTCGATTATATAATCGCATAAAGATTTGCAGATATACAGGGGTATTTCGATAGCTCCGGACACTAATATATATTAATTAGAGTGTTGATTACTTTAAACCGGATTATTTCTTAAGTCCAGAGATATCAAAAACACGCCCTTAGATATGGATAGTAGTACGTTATAAGATTCTCTGGATAATACTGGGGGGATCCACGCGGTCCTTTCTAGAACTCGGTGTTCTCGTAGCCGCCGTTGTCGTAGATCGCCATGCTGTTCCGATTGGAAGCCGAGAAGCTAACCTTCTTGGGCATCGGCACCAGGGGCGGTCGCTTGCCCGCCTTCGGAGTGGGCGTGCCCCCTGGAGTGGCGGCTGCATTGACCTTGGCCACCGAGCGACGTTGCTGCAGCAGCTTCACGGACTTGCGGTTGAGGGCCAGATTCTTGAGGTTCAGCTCGTCGTCGCCGAAGAAGCGGCGCTCGAAGTTGAACACCAAGTTGCTGTAGTCGCTGTGCTGCTTGTTCCGGGTCTCGTGCAGCCGGAAGATCGTCTGCCGGCGCACCATGCTCTCCCTGTGCTCCCCCTCGGGGGCATCCAGCATCACCTCGTCGTAGTGGGGGTCACCCTCCTCGTCGTCGTCGAAGAGCCTCTTGGGGCGCTGCAGCTTCCGGGCTATGTTCACAGCACTGCCCTTCAGCTCGGTGGCGGCATCCTCGTCCGTGAACTGGCCGCCGGACCGGAACCAGTCCACCCGGGTGGTGGCCAGCAGCTGGCACAGGGTGGCGAAGCGGTGGAAGAACATCGCCAGGAACTGGATGATGAGGATCAGGCCGAAGAAGATCACGAAGCACAGGCCAATGGGATCCAGTTCCTTGTACTGCCTGTAAATGCCGACCATCAGGTTGTCCCTGTCGAAGGACACAAAGTCGGCGGGATCGATGGGCCACTTCAGGTGCAGGAACTCCTTCTTCAGCTGCAGCAGGAACACAATTAGCACGAAGATCGCGTTCACCATCACGAAGGCGAAGGCGATCATGTTCCTCAGCTCCTTGAGTCCGTCGGCCATCGCCTGCTTTTGCTCGCGACTCAGTTCCAGGGGTTTCAGGTACTGCTTGATCACATCTTTCCAGAATCGCTGCTCCATCAGCGACACCTCGCCCAGCTCCGAGTTGATCAGCAGCGGATCGTTTAGCCAGCCTGGCAGGTAGTTGTCCGCATCATTGGGTGCGTCCTTGTCGTCGTCCTTGAGCACTGGCGCCTCTCGAGTGCCCCACGAAACGTCGTTCATGTTGAAAACCGAGAAGATCATGAGCAGCATGTACATCGAGGGGATGGTGATGTAGTAGATGACGCCGCACAGCAGGGCCCAGAACTCCTGAGGATGCATAAAGCCTAGAGAGCAAAGTGATCATAATTTCGGAATAACAACTATCCAGCCAGGACTCACCTGCAATCGTGATCTGAACCGCAACGAGCAGGAAGAAGAGCGATGCTGGGGCCAAGGGTCCGTCCTCCAGCATCTGCACAATGATGCCGATTAGGACTGCCATCATGACCAGACAGTAGAGCGCGCTAATGACAAAGGCGATCAGGAGCTGGAACTTCTGCTTGAGGTAGACGCACGACAGGATGAAGAAGATAATGGGGAAGAAGTTCCAGAGGAAGGCGGTCCAGATGTCGATCGAGAACACGGCCACCAAGGCGCCCACCATCATGAGGAATATGGTGCCCGGTCCCAGCACGGTTCCGATCATCAGCATGCCCTGGTACCACACGTACAGCGTTGATATCGAATTGTTCTTCCTCACCACCGTGTCCGCGTCGGCCAGGATATCGAAGATATTCGCTATGGTGGAGGGCACCCAACGGCGTCGCTGGTTGTAGAACTCGTTGAAGCTCTCGGGCGCGTGGGTGTACGCGTCCGAGGCGGCGCAGTACTCCACCCGGGAGCCCGCCTTCAGGAGCAGCGTGCAGAGCCAGCGGTCCTCGCCCTGGTCGTACTGCACCATCTTCATGGCCTCCGAGCTGACCATGGTGTAGCGCTTCATCACGCTGTTCTCCATCAGGGCGCTGGCCCGGAACAGGCTGAAGCAGCCGGGACTGCAGAGGACGCAGCCGATGACGTGCTCGGTGGCCTTTTGCAGCCAGTGGCCGATGGCGTACTCGAATCGCTGGTACCACACCATCGGACCCCGGCCCACCGGGTGGATCCGCCCACAGGCCGCCCCCAGCTCATCCACGGCCTTCATGCGATCAATCAGCAGCTGCACGGCCCGCGGCTGGAAGTCGATGTCCCCGTCCAGGGCCAGGATAAAGGTGTTCTCTGCGATGACCGCCTTCCGGCGGGGCGACAGCTGCTCCGTCTCCATAATCCGGAAGCCGAGCAGGTAGTACATGTACATGACCTGGGACCACCGCTTCTTGTGCCGGATCTTGTCCTTGTTCTTGAGGTGGGCCACCATCTTGGTGCGTCCCGGCAGAATCCACACCAAACGGCCTCCGTAGGGAGTCTCGATTTTCAGAGGCGGCTTGATGCGAATGTTCACGCCGTAGACCTCGAAGGCTGCCTTATCGATGGTTCGAGTTAGGGTCTTCACATACTCGTTTATGGGCGGATTGCGCTTGTTTTGGCACTGACGCGGGTCCGAAACGAAAGCATCGTCGAAAAAGATGTTCGCTGTGAAAATGTGTGCACGAAAAGAAAAATATCAGTGCTCTTTTCATTTAACAGGCTTGATTAAATAGTAATTTACCGATACATTACTTTATCGCTATCATTACTAATTGTAATAATGACTAAATTAAAAATTTGTTGGTTCCTCACAAAGCAGGTGCAAGCAGCGTGATTTTGATAATGATTTTCCTATAACTTTTTTTTTGGATTATCCTACACTTTAACGAATACGATTTGCCCTTTTACTCTACCAGTAACGGGTATAACATTTCCATAAAAATAGTTTGAATAAATCTGTAAGTATTATGATTGTTTATCCTGATTAATACGAAAAACAAGAAAGGAAGCTACCTTCGGCCAGCCGAAGCTTATATACCCTTGCAGATAAAAAATTGCTCACTCGGTGCAGTTCCAGGGATTTCAGATTCAGCGTTTCTATTTATTTATATTTTGTTTTTAAGTAGTCAAGAATCAAAACGCCTACTTCCTACAAAGATACAATTTTCTTATATTTGTTTGAATATTCCTATGGAAGTCTTAAGATATAGTGGTCCGATCCGGCTCGCTCCGACATATGTACTACCTGCAATAGAAAAAAGACTTTCGGGAAAGTTTCATCGCGAAAGCTTTAAAACTGAGAGACTAGTTCGCATAGAAACGGACAGACGTACAGACGGACAGACGGACAGACGGACATGGCTAGATCGACTTGGCTATTGGTGTTGATCAAGAATATATATATATGTGGTCGGAAACGTCTCCTTCACTGCGTTGCAAACATCTGACTGAAATTATAATACCCTCTACAAGGGTATAATGATAAGATATTAGTGAAACAAATTCAAGGACTAGTCACTAGATTACGGCTTAAAGTTAAGACTCAAGTTAAGCTAACTATTTATTCTCTGTGTGCGAAAAAAATTAAGGAGATCGTAAAGTTGTCGCAGACAGTTGCCGATGCTTGGCTTAATGCCATTTTGGCAAGCGCGGAAATGAAGTCGCCGAGCGCTATAAATAGAGCTGCAAACAGCTTCCCGGGCTCGCATAAATTTCCACTTTGACACATTTTAAATGTGCAATGCAAATGCAGCCACCGCCAAGGACTGCAGACGACAGCAGCTGCAGCTGCAGTTGCACCCGCATATTTTGGCCCATTTACATACTTTCCAATTCATAGTACTCGTCGTCCGCCTTGCCGCCATTAAGGTGCGTCCTCGCCATGCGGCGGGCGCATTGATCCTCATCCAAGCGGACAATTGACTTGAGGAACTCCATCATCTCGTCCTCGGTCTCGTGCCACATGGTGGCGCACACAATCAGCTGCGGCACCTTGTCCTCCTCCAGGATGTCCCGACTGGCATTGATGTCGGCTGCCAGGGCCACCACAGGATCCCTCGGCGTGGTGAGGTCGCTCTGCCGGGAGGAGTAGATACGGGTGGGTTTAGTTAAAGCTCCGAATGATTGCAGTGCATATCAAGTGGTTATTTGAGAAATCCAATGCGGTATTTGCGGAGCAGCAAGAGCACGGGAATTCCCGGAAAAGATGCCAACATTCATTTGGCAAAAGTAAACAATCGTACACAATGTGGCTCAGAAACTTTCTGTATGCAATTTGGGTACTTTAGATATGGAAGGAAGAAAGAAATTTTCATCCCGAATTTTCAGTAAAATTTCCCTGACTGTGAAGGTACTTAAGGCTGCTCCGATTAACTCGTTCGGCCTACCTAACGAAGCGACGTCATTACGAATGCACATAATTCGCTGGGCTTCTAATTTATGCCCCCAAAATCAACTCTTATGCCCTGATTTTAATTACTTTAATGTCTTTATGCCGGGTAGGCCCCGAAAACATGCGAGTGGAGCTGAAGCACTTTTAATTAAGTTTACACCCACCGAAAAGCCTCGCATCCCAGCCATGCCCATGCCCAAGCCGCTTCCCCCCGATGGGGAAACGCAAACATTTCCTGAACTTTGCAGTTTCCCCGTCATTTAACTTAATTACATTGCCTGACATTTGAAGCGCACATCAGTAGTGCCGGCAGTCCCGGCACTCTCCGCCGGAATAGTCAAAAAGTCCTCGCAATAGATGGATGTGGGTGGGCGGATCGGCACAGGGGCTGTCCGGAGCTGCCGGGAGCTGCGAACTTGGCGCGATGATTGATGCCAGGCAGGCGCCTGATTACAATAATTCATTAACATGAACTCGACTCAAATCTGATTTGGCGCACTCAATTCCGGAGGCTCTCCCCACTCACCTTGATGGCCAGATACTCCTCGCTCCAGTCCACGATCCGCCGGTTCATCATCGAGCACTGGTCCACCAGGAGGCCGCAGTACCAGGGGCACACGAACAGCTTCTCGGTGGGGGCGTTCTTGTCGTTGTGCGGCTGCCAGACGTGCAGGCAGGTGAACACCTGGGCCAGCCACCACAGAGGCCACAGCCACAGGGCCAAGTCGAGGCATTTCTGGCCCAGTTCCTCCACATTCCCGCCCAGCGCCAGCAGCGAAAGGTACTCCGGCAGGAGGCCGTGCAGGGAGCAAGGATCCGAGGCCCGCAGCTGCGCCAGGAAGGTGGCCAGGCAGACGGTCACGGGTCCGGCCAGGCTGAGGGGCAGCGCGAAGCTGAACACCTGGATCTTGATTTTGCAGGCGAACTTGCCGAAAATGTGGCACAGGTAGGCAGCAACCACCTGGGCCGCCATTGCGTAGACCACTGCATTCGGACTGGACTGCATGGTGAATTGCGTCCTGAGCGGGGGGTTCCTGATTGATGAGTTCGCCTGTGCTGAAAGCAGTGCATCGGGGTCACCACCGGTCTGCTGCAAAAGCACAGGAAATTATTAGAAAACTCTTTAAACAATAAATAAAATTCAAGCATTTTTAAGTTGCAGCATCCACTACTCAAGAAAGCTTGCATTTAGTGTCAAGGGGGAATATACATATAGGAAAAATAAAAATTCAATTTTTTTTTATTCCTGAAATTGGTAGAATAACTCTCTAAAAATGTGTCATGAAAGTTTCACGAAGAAATTCTACCTATTTTGGAACTTATACCAGGATGACGGCACCCACCTTCCTTGTGCAGTAGATAAATTCCATTACTTTAAATGCCTTTTTCTCGAAACCACGTTTTCCTCAGCTGCGGATCGTATATCTCAAAAAGTAATGCCTCAATCATCATGCTGCTTTTACAGAAATGTTTGTCTGAACCTACTTAATGTAAAAATTTGTACGTTTAACTATTTTTTGATAGCCAAAAACAACAACAAAATTATGAAAAAAATAGATTTTTTACTTTGAAAGAGTGCCACAACCATAGTTTTTGAGATATTCAATGTAAGTTAGGTTCAGACAGTTTCTACATTATTTCTTAACAAAATAAACTTAGTTTCATAAAAATCGGATCTACACAGCGACCTGTGGACGATCCGCAGCTGGCCTACTTCTTTTTAATATAGCCTGACAAAAAAATTCCTACGTCCGCCTGTTTGAAAGATAAAAGCAAAATAAAAATTGGTTAAAATTATATAAGAACAATGTAATCAACACGCCAAGTTACGAAATCCCAGCACAATTCCTTATTGGTTTAAAAAAATCACGAAAAACTTGAAAAAATGACAGTTTTATATGTACCTCCCCCCTAAAACACCTAACTGAATCCTATTTTTCTCTGTGCATCATCGAGTGGGGCTATCCAATACCACCCTTTAATTGGTCGACTCTACTCACCACCAGCGTGATGAGGTGCGGCCGCCAGGCATCCAGGAACCGGCTGAAGTACTGCGAGAATTCCTGGCCGTGCAGGAGGAAGCCCACCCCGCCGAAAACCAGCACCTTCAGGGGCGCCAGGTAAAGGTACGTGTGGTAGCGGGAACGAGTGCAGCGGATGGTGCGAATGATGTATGCTGCCGGTGGGGAAACGAGAGGAAACGGGAATCAGTCTTCAGTTGGATGGTTCATTTAATTGTCAAACAAGGCTTTAAAATCGTTCAACAATCAATTTGGAAAATTCTCTGGATTTTTTAGTCTGTTAACCCCGTCAAATAGGTACATTTTAGACATTTCGATGGAAAATAACAAGAAAGCATAAATATATCGATGGGCGAAAATTAAAAAAGTGAACTTGGAGAACAGAAGTCCCTGAAACTAATCAACGATTTAATTTGATTAATTTCCTAGCAATTGGGAGCATATAAAAAAAGTTTTGACCAAAATTATATGTCCCATGTAGAGACAATGAGAATAGCTAAGATTATCCGAACCGGTTTCTGTTTCTTCCGCGTTTATTATCTTAATTCACATTTCATATTGACGTCAGACTAACTAATATCTTCATACGTATTTCACACTTTTATTTTTGAATTTTACAAAGCTGTTGAACACCTAACCTTCCTTAGTATTTAATTTGGTTCGATTGTCAATAAGCAAACACTCACCGATGGCCTCGTGTGTGTTGGCAAAGTTTTCCCACCAGCGGAACGAAACGAGGAGCAGCGGAATGGCCAGCAACTGGACCTCCAGGCTGTCGCTCATCGCGGGCCAGATCAGGAAGACGCTGCCCTGCGCAACCAGGGCAAGGATGGAGAGCCCGAGGACCAGGCTGTCCGCCGACCTCCAGCGCACCCGCGTTCCCGTCAGCAAATCTGAAACGTCGAGCAGCCGGAGCAATCAATTTAATTGTTGTCAGTCGGTGCCTAGACACCGATAACATCTGGGGGCGCTTGTTGGCGGGGTGTCGAGTTGTCGGGAGTTACTCACTGAGCAGGGCGGGCACAAAGCAGACGCAGCAGCCCAGAATCGCACCACGCGTCACATCCAGGGCCGGCAGCACGGTGAAGGTGAGCAATGCCAGGCCAACGACGTGCAGCAGTTCAAAGAGCGTGACCTGATTAGCGGGGACTTATCAATCAATCTCCGCCTGGGTTAGGGTGGCTCGGTTTGGCGGGACACAAGCACAAGCTCAAGTGGGTAGTGCCATTAAAGGGGTTACTTCTAGTGTCATTTCTTGCCTTAACATTTTAAAAGCCATCATGGAGTGACTAATTTTAGTTATCAAAATTACTTGGAAATCACTAAACTGTTTGTAAGATTGTTTTATACAACAAAGAAAATCTAATATTAAAGTATTAAATTTTTTTTAACTTTAAGGTATTTTCTTAAATCATTTTAAAGTTATTTTAAATAAAATATTGGTATACATAACAGATATTTCATTTTGAATTTAAAAACATTTTAAAGAAAGCTTATGGCGACACAATAAAAGTGATTGGCAGTTGCACTTTCGCTAATATACCCGGAAACCGTGCCACTCAATAAGCATGTACCCCTAGGATAATACCCACCAGACCCACTTCCAGTCCGCTGGGTCGCTGCTCGCGCTTGAACATGCAAATGCGGAGGGCGCGCAGGAAGGTGAGCAGCTCGGGGGCGGCGAAGGCGAAGATCAGGGCCCAGACCCACGCGATTTGATCCAGCTCGCTGGGCAACGCCTCCACCTGGCCGTGGCGGAGAACTTGGGATGGGGGAAGAACCACTTTATATCGCCAATCCAACAAGGTACTGACCTTCACTCACGGTACTTGCTGCACACTTGCACCCGTGGCCCGCTGCCACCGGTGTTTCCGGCCATATAGAGATAAAGCAGCTTGGCAAACACGCTTGTGGCAAGAACCACTGAAAATACCAGGAGGTATACGAAGAGCTTGAAGAGTTTGAGGAAGAATTGCAGCTTCTTCCAGTCGGCATCGGAGCCGCTCGTCTTCTTCGACGGCGGGTCCTGGAAGGAATCCCACAGCGGCGGCTTGTCGCGAAACTTCCTGGAAGCAGTCGGAAGTACTGGTTATCGGTGACATCACATCGCGATTAGGGCCGGACCCACCGACTGCGCATAAAGTAGTCACCGCTCTCGTAGTCTCCTCCGCTCATTGTCTATCTTGGCCAATTGGCAATCGAAAACTAACTGGCACTCGGCAATTGGCACTGTGGACCTGGCCCATCCGATCGGGCGATCGGCAGATCGGAGATAAGGTTCTTCGTCGCGATATCATCGATGCAAGGCGCATAAGTTGTCATCGAGTCAACAACTCGTGTAAGATAAGAAACCTTCCGAAGCCCTAGACCCAACGACTATAATTGCAATTACAAATGCCATCAAATCAAATCACGGCAGCGTTTCTCATTCATAAAATTATACAAACGACGCGTTTTAGGGTTCCGATAGTTGGGGGTAACTTATTGGTAACATTAAATCTCACTCAGGGAGCGGCTCTGTTTGTATTTCTAAATGGGGCACTGGGCCCAGTCAATGTGCTCCGCTTACGTGTGTTATGGTTGTCCAGTTTATTGTCCGACATGGGACCTACAAGCATTTCAAAGTTGTAGCTTTTCAGTATTGCCGATAGCAGAGGGTTACACCTGCGACGAAGGGGAAGCAACTCGAGTTGATGGCAGTCAAGGCGAAAGGTTGTTTGATCTTTTAACTGATTTACGCTCAATAAAATATTGCTGACAATGGAAAGTTTAGATCCATGTTTTTAAATTAATTTAAATTAATGTATGATTTAATAGCGGACTTGACTCCTTAATGTAAGCAATATGTGTAACAATTTTGTACCTTTTGCTATCAGAGTTTTCAGACCTTAGAAATCATATCGTCTTTATAAAGTATCTATACAAAACACATCGCTCATTATAGACAAAGTTTTTGTGTACACTTTTTTGGGGAGCTAGAACTTTTAAACGAGTAAACCGATTTTAATGCACCAATCAGCATTTTTGTAAAAACATTCCAAATTAAAATTTTATATCGGCGATATCGCAGACGATCGTTTTGATCTTCTAGACGTATCTTAATAATGCCTTCCGCGATAGAAAATGCTTGCAGGGTAGTAGTGTATTATAGTATTTACTTTGTATATAAAACGCTCCCAGCGGATGTCAGCAGAAGTGTTACCACCTCCTGACGCTTGGGGCGGCACTGAGTCTGCGTCAGATATCATGTAGAAATCGGTGTAAAAAGCATTTAGCCTCAGAGTTTGCATTAAAATTTCTCATACGACACGTATAACACTAGAGTTTTTTCGGAGAGTTGCTTTCAAAAACAACAAACAACTAAGAAACTCCCTTGTTTACTCAATCAAAAGCAACACAAAAACAATTGTTAAAAGCATCAAATTCAGGTTTGAGGGAAATGTCAATTTTTATCGTACTACGTTTGGTTCAGTTTGTGAGTTTGAAAATATCTGCATTATTTTCATAAATGTCCAAGGCTTCGTAACCTTTTTTCGAATTAATTTGGAAGAAGATTTTACAAAATGCTTTGGATTATGTGTACAGCGTCCTAATTTAAAATGCTGACCGAAAGAAATTAAAACTATCGGATGAAACTGAGTAGCCCTTATATTGTTTTTCATACAAGTGCGTGTCAAAAAGCAAACTTAAACCTCTATTTTTTCGGGGACACCGACATTTCATAAGGTTGTTTTTAGCAACACAAATGTCGGGTTTTTCATGTCAAAAAGATTTTAAATATTGGCTACATAGTAAAAAATTGTAAAAAGCTTACTAAAATGTTTTTCAAAACGCCTCTAGCTATAGAAATGTCGGAAAATTTTTGAAGGAACCCAACAATTGCTTTTGTGTTGTTTTTTGATTGTTAGAGTTTTCAGGGACAACGCCACCGAGATTAAACAAAAGTTTTGATCGAAGGCAATTCGCAGACCGTAAAACTCTTCTTTTTTTTCAAAAAATGTATTTTGGTAACCTTCAGTACCTCAATTTACATTTACATTCCTTACAAATTTCCACAAAATTGTCTACCGCCCTAATGTACATCTTGAAGAATAAAAATTGATCTCTTCGATTGACTTTAAAAAATTCGCCACCCTTTATTGTATCTTAAAACCTAGCTAATATAATTGCATTGATTAATATAGACTCATTCACTTACAGAATTAAAAAATAACAATCAGATTTAAATTTAAAGTAAAATGTTTAATTTAAAATAAATGAGTTACAAAAATCTCATTCAAAAAAAATTAAAATATATTTTAAAAGAATTTATTCCCTACCATTGGTGGACCGATTTGATCACTTATGTACAACCTAAAATGAAAAATAAATAATGACATTTACAGATTTGCTTGAATTTTAAAATAAGCTAGCCAGACAATGCAGCATATAAATATCACGAATAAAATTCTTGATGTTCAGTGCATTACAAAATCGTACGGACGAACCTTAACTAAACAAAACACTTTAAAAAATCAACAAATGCATTGGCTTCTATTAGCCTCCTTGCAGTTCCCGACCCGAGATCGTTATTGGGAGACCTTGGGCGCCACTTCCTCCCCCCGCTCTTGCCCCTCGACTCCCTGATCGCGGCGCTTGGCCAGATTCAAGTCTCGTGCTTCCTCCATGGTCGTTGGAAGCACCTTGTCCGCCGTCTCGGGGAATGCTAGGGTCAGGAAGCCGCTGATCAGAGCAAAGGTAGCGAATAGTATTTGCGGGGCGTAAATGTAGTATTTGGCCTGAAAAAGGAAAGAGACTTGGATTAGCTAATTCGCCGATGAGTAGATAAATCTATTCTAACCAATAGAGGAGTTTGAGGAGCCAACATGGAGCCAATGCGTCCCACCATGGAGCAAAGAGACAGCAGGCTGTTCCGCACGTTGGTAGGAAAGATCTCCGACGTAAAAAAGTACAGGATCTGAAAGCTACAGGTGATGGCCAGCTTTCCAATTAGGAACAGGATCAGAGAACCCGCGTAGTTATCTGAAAATAAAGTTTTACCATTAATACAAAGGTATTTAGAAATCATTTGCCTATGAAGAGTCATAGATGACCTACAATTTGTAGGCTATACTTATAATATAATACTAATATTACCTTCTGGCACTCCCGCAGAGGCGCCCATGCAGATGGCACAGAGCAGCATTGAGACGCAAAGCGAGTAGCGCCTTCCAACGCGATCCATGATGACCAGGGGCAGCAGCAGGCCCGGGATCTGGATGAAGCCGTTCAGCATAAAGTTGGTGTACTTGTTGCCGCCCAGGTTAACCGAGTTGAGGCTGAGTCCCAGGGCGATCAGCGTGTGGGTGAACCAGCAAAGGCAACAGTTGGCGATCCGCAGCGAGAAGAAGCGCACGGCTCTCATGATCGGGTACTGGCTCTCATTGGCCTGGCTGAGCTTCTGTCGGTTGGAGGCCAGCAGCTCCTCCACTTGCTCCTCGGGCAGGGCTCGCTTATTGATCCGTGCGGCTCGTCGCAGAACGTCGGCGGCCTTCTCCTCGGCGCCCTGGCTCAGAAGCCATCGGACACTCTCCGGCAGGATCCACAGAAAGAGGATCTGCAGCACGGCTGGGACGTAGAGCACTCGGAGCAGCCAGCGCCAGTGCTGCACCTGGGAGGCCAGGAATCCGAGGAAGGCCTCACCCAGAGCGTAGAAGATGGTGATAATCGTCGCCGCCGCCACACGCCGCTTGGGACCCACCAGTTCGATGGCCAGCAGGAAGGCGGTGGGGAAGAGGGTGCTGCCCACGGCCATGTCCAGGAACTCGAAAACCATGAACATGGAGTAGCTGCTCGACAGCGAACGGATCACGCCCATCAAGGCGCTCAGGGAACCGGCAACGGCCAGCATGGTGCGACGACCGAACCTGGGATATAAATAGAGGCTATAGGATTGGAACCATTTTGTCTAAGTCTGGGCGAACTTACCTATCCGCAAAGAATCCTCCAAGTGGGATGCCGACGAACTGACCCACATTGTTTATGGTGCCCACCATGGAAAGCTTCCACTCGTCCTCACAGTATATTCCGAACTTTTGAGATATAAAGTTAATATATTGTTAAAAAATGTTTAATAAATACTTCACTGAACTATTTATACATTTATAATTAAGATTAGTAAAAAACAGCAATATTTTCATATTTCATTTATGAGATTACAAATGCTTACACGTACACTTATAATACGTGTTAAAGCTACGTTAAAGGTAATTATGACGATGGAATATTTAATACAAATTTAAAAGTCTACGATTTGAACTGCTTTCTCACCTATAACCTTTTTAGATTAGGTTTATTAATTAGGTTGATCAAAAATGTAGCAAGTAATTAGAATAACCATATTAAGTCTCAGCCGCAATTCAGCGTTAAAGATTTTGCTGATAAACTCAGCATTTTCAAGTTCCCACTAAGACTTTCCAGATTTTTAATTACTCCCTTATCTGCGACTACCCACCTCCGTTGATATAGTCTTCTCCTCGTCCCTGAACTTGAAGTCATGCCCGCAGGTCTCCGATTCAGTAGTAAAATAATCCTTGGCGCAGTATCCTAGGAATGGATCAGGGGCCTCAGTCTCGTTGACAGCGTAGCGATGGCAGGCATCGATGGCCGAGTTCTTGTAGGGAATGGTGAAGTTCAGCCAGTTCTCATCGTACACACTAGTGGAATTGTCGCACTGTGGGACGTTGCACCTGAGAAAAATATAGGGTCGGGTGTCGAGACTGGTTAAATTATTTCTCGGAAATTTCGCCTACCTGTGAACCACTGTGCTCGCCGTGAAAACATAGGAGATGGAGAAGAAAGCATTGAAGAGCATGGGAACGCAGAGCAGAACATAGTTAATGATCTGATAGCGCCCGAACTGGCCGATCCGCACCAAAATTGCGTCCAGAGAGTTGTCGTCGTCCCCGCCACCCGTCGCCGCCTCCGTGTCCGCGTGTCCATTGCTTTTGGCATCGCTCGGGGAGCTGCCGTTTCCCTCCTTTTGGCTGGTCATGGTATAGGTACAATTGAAGTGTCCGCCAGGCACGTGGTGAAATGCACTTCCAATCGGTGTTTTATAACTCGCGGCCCCGCGATCTTTCCGCTTCGGCTATTGGCCGTATTTATAGACGCTCTGGAGCGACTCGCTGGGAGCAGTGCTACTCATTGACTGATTCAACCACATCAACTGCTCGCGCTGTGCTGTGATTTGATTCGACGCTCTCATATGTACAATGTACATTTTTATTGGCGAACGCAAAAGTGATAGTTAATCTTTAAAATTGTAAAAAATAGAATCTCTATTTCATTGTGAGTCACAAAAAAAAATGGTAAGTCGGGGATCGAACTCGATCCTTTTTGTTCGGAGACAGAAGCTCTACTGGCTAGGCTACGTCCAACTGTTAATATTCATGAAATACATTTCTACTTGACTCTTTTATTCGAGCGAAACCAAAAAGTTGACATGTTAAAATCTGACAAGAAATGGAATGGGGTAATTTCCTAGTTTTACACTTAATTTTTAGCGAAACTTTAGGGCCATTGCGCACCGCCTAAACGATGAAATAAAATTTTTCTGTTTTTGCATAAATTTATTGGACACAGAAACCTACCATTTAAGATGCTGAGCTCAGTTGACCTTAAAGAAGTCCACCCTAATGTACATACTACCTCTTTCCGATTACCGCTCTCTAGCGCGTTTCTATTTTTAATCCGTCTGCTCTTCTCCATGCCGCGGGTTCTTCCCTCCTTATCGGGGTCTTATCAGGCCCCAAACCAAAACTGTTTGCACTTCCCGACGACGGGAGTACGTCGAACATTACTATCCTAATCCAAACGCGTTAAGCTCTGAATGGGTTAGCACTTTAGCACCATGCCGTTGATATCAATCGATATGGGAACTGGCTTCGCTGCTGTTGTTTATCTATCAGACGGCGAGACACGGTGTCTGGTTGTGGGTGGCCAACAGCTGTTCCTGCCTCTTAGCTGATTGCTCCACTAGGTCAACAAGTGGCCCGACCCGAAACTCGGCGCCTTATCTTACGCTATTTGCCCGATGTCATTGACTTTGGCGCATGTGTCTGGGTCCTCAGTTTGCCTTTACACTTGATTTACTTTACCCGACCATAAGATGATTAAGTGCGGAAACAGTATACACAAGTCCAGAGCCCGACAGCCGACTGTTCTATCGGCGGGTTGCCGACCAGATTGATAAATCAATGATAAGTTCCGATGAAGCCACAATAAATGGGAGCTCGTGAATTATTGGCACGCTGTAATTGAAATTGCTTGATAGATGTATGGCATTGGCCCCACTGAAGGGCAGCTATAAATCGGTAATATCTCGCGGAAAGGCTGGTCGTACGGCTGATAAGCGCGATCACAAATGGAATTAGATAAACCCTTGAGCTGAACAAATATTTATTTTGTTAGGCCACTTGAACGAAAATCAATTCGCAGTACGAAATAATCTAGGATCAAAACACTATATATGTGCAATGTACATACCAGCCGGGTCGGTAGCCCGCAGCTTCGCGTGAGGAAATTAAAATTAAAACGAGGACGTAAGCTAACTTTGGCAAGCCGAAGTTTTAATACCCTTGCAAATTTCACGAATGAAAATTTGAATAAAATAGCAACAGGAAATAAAATACAGTTTTCTCTATATTGTTCCTATGGGAGCTACAGGATATAGACGTCCGATCGGGTCGAATTTCAAACTTGATCTGCGTACACATGTTTTAGAATGACTGTGAAAGTTTTAAGTCGCTAGCTTTTAAACTGAGATCGCAAACGGTATTGAAACAGACATACAGACGGACATGGCTATATGGACTCCCCTATTGATCCTGATCAAGAATATATATACTTTATGGGGTCGGAAACGTCTCCTTCACTGCGTTACAAACTTCTGACCAAAATATAATGCCCTCTGCAAGTGTATAAAAAAGAGAGAACGCTATAGTCGGGTGCCCCGACTATCAGATACCCGTTGCTCAGCTAACAGGAGTGCGAGGAAGATGGAGATATAAAAGATATATACTTTATAGGGTCGAACACGCTTCCTTCTCCCTGTGAATAGAGCGACCCGAAATAAGGACGTCTTCATTTGTTGAGTTACTATTTCAAACTGATTTCTTTATTAATATTCAACTCTTACGTAGCTAACATGAGAATCTTATTTTACTCTTATCTAATGACCCACGCAGACATACCTGCTTATCTTTGGGATTTTATAGTGCATATCTGTTTTCGCTTATGTGCCTAGGATATTCGACCCTTCTTGGGACATCCCATATTTGGGTTACAGTTTATGACCTCATTGTAAAATACGGTTTACACAAATATATCTATAAAACGTGTTCATGTTTCAACACCCTGTTACATACTTTTGCACGAATACAATACATTTACAGTGTTTTTTACTATTTAACCTACTTAAGAAGAATACAAAAACTTTTAAAACAAACCATTATGTATTTTTTTTAAATCTTCCTATACTTCTTATGGATTGTTTCCATAAGTTATCAGACAAAACAGAAAAAAACAAATTCCTTTTTTGACTCATATCCATACTCTAATTTTCTTATAAAACATTAGTACTTTCTCCAAAACATATTGTTTAAATATAGAATGTCTTAGTGCGTTGAGCATGTAATTAAATTCCCAATTCGAGTAGTTGAATAAACCCGTAAGCCGAATTATGACCCGATCGTGATTATTCTTAAACCGTGTGAGTTTGCCGGATTAAATGAAATTCGGGCGCGATGATACTCGATCATACTCGTTGCAGCTCTCTGATGTTTGACGACTGGTAAGGTATTAGGTTTTTATGGTGAACTATGCTAAGCTACGCTAATATTCATGACTGACTTGATAGTAAATCAATTACAATTGCGAGCCAATTAATTATTATTTTCAGACGAGAAAGTGGTTAACTAGCCTTTAATTTAATTTAATTAAAATTAAAAAAATTAAAATTATAGGAAAAGAGATATATAAAAGTGTATTAAATCCGATCATTTATTTAAGGTTGACGAATCTAACTGCTTTTGATACTTACAACTCAACCGCCCAATTCAAAAGATAAGCTGTGCTAAGAATAAATTAATAACATTTTAAAAGTCTTAAGTTTTATTGAAACTTTTACTTAATATATGATTGTACTATACACACTCATCTGATGTCATCGACCCAACTATGCGCCCAGTTAAAGTGTTCGATGACTTCTTGAATTTCCAGAATGTTTATTGCTCAAATTTGACTTGCAACTTTGTTGGTCATCAAAAATCACACGCTCCGATGTCTCCGATCACCGATACTGTAGACGCGATAATGGCTCGTTTACGATTAGGCAGCACTTTTCGAAACTTTTCCCCTAGGTATACTCTTGTCCAGGGCACGTGCTTCGGCCAGCGTGGTGGGCAGTACCTTGTTGGTTGTCTCCGGGAAAAACAAGGACATCCCCGAACAAGTAAATCCGAATAGGGCAAAAAGTAAGTGGGGAGCATACTGGTAGTGAACGATCTAGAAGAAAGGGTTCAGTGCAACAGATTGGATGTCTATCAAAAGGTAACTCACCAGAAGAGTGGTTTGGGGGGCCAGCATAGAGCCAAAGCGACCCACACTGGAACAAAACGAGAGCATGCTGTTCCTGCAGTTCGTGGGAAAGATCTCAGAAGTGAAGAAGTACAGGATCATGAAGCTTCCCGTGGACGTCATTTTTGCCAGGAAATAAAGAATCGAAGAGGCCAGAGGGTACACTATTTGGAGTTGAGTTTGGTAACAATTAACTTTGTACTCCATTTAAAGACCGTACTGACCTTCGTCCGTAGCAGCCACTGCCAGGAGCAGGGCTGCACAAGTGAATTGGCAGGAGCTGAGCGCCCAACGTCTTCCAATCCAGTTCATCAGTGTGGTGGCCATCAGAATACCAGGCAGCTGCATGAACCCCGTCATGCTGAAGTTCTCGAATTTGCTGCCACTTAGTTGGGTGGAGTTCAGGCTCAGGCCCAGTGCGATCAGGGTGTGCGTGAACCACGCGAAGCAGCACAGGGCGGTGCGACAGCCCAGGGCCTGGAAGATCTGGCGGATGCTGTAGTGGCCACCGGAGGCGGAGGACTGGGCCACCAGTTGGCGGTTCGAGCGTATCAGATCATTGAGCTTTTGCTCCGACAGCTCCTTTCGGTTCACCTGCGCCACCCTCCGCAGCGTGGACTTGGCGTCCAGCTCCTTCGACTGGCTGAGCAGCCATCGCACGCTCTCGGGGAGCAGGCAGATAAAGATCAGGTGCAACAGAGCAGGTGCATAAAGCACCCGTAGGAAGACGCGCCAGTCGCGCAGATAGTTGGCCAGGTATCCCATGAAGGCCTCCGCGAGACCATAGGTTAAACTGATCACAGTGGCGGCGACCACGCGGTGCTTTGGACCCACTAGTTCCACGGCCAGCAGAAAGGCAGTGGGGAAAAGCGTGCTGCCCACCGCCATGTCCAGGAACTCCAGGCTCAGGAAGCTGTAGTACTCCGGCGCGTGGGAGCGAGCCAGTCCTGCAAAGGAACTGAGGATTCCTGCGACGACCAATATGAATTTTCGCCCATATCTATAGAAATGCAAATCAAATCGAAATGTATAAAATATATATTCCCCTAAGGCCTAGTACTCACTTCAATCGAAAATCCTACGAAATGAAAATCTCCATACAAAATTTTGAACACGAAATTATCCGCCTGTCATTTTTGTATGGAAATTTTCGTTTCGTTGGCTTTTTGATTGAAGTGAGTACTAGGCCTAATTTATAAACCCTATGTTCCTATATTTTCCTATCATAACCAGTTAAGTGAACTCATAAATCTGCGTATCGTTGAAAAGACATAAGAGATACGTTTTTGGTTTGTACAATTTACTCATAATTTTTTTTTTGCAGATAACAGGTATTCAAATCGCCAAAAATGTAATGACATATCTGCACGGTCACTTGTGTAATAGCCAATCGCGTTTTATTTAATTTTGCACTTCACATTGAATACCAGTTTGGTTGAATTTCAAACTTGTTATGAATTTCAAATTTATTTTTGTGGGTTATATAATACTTAAACAAAAAATTTGGCTTAAGGAATGACAACGACTTTAACAATGTAATATATTTTTAAAATTCAAGTGCAAAATTTACAGGAATAATAAAGAAGTCTTCAAATTCCAAAAATCAAGTATCTGAGTCACCAAAACCGCTTGTCAGAAGTCTTTTTAATTTTGATGAGAACACTTCACATTATGGTACATGGACGGATTATTCGATTTAAATTAAATCTATCCCTTCTGTTATTAGTTAATAATAAAATATATAAAAAACGTTCCATGCATTTAACATACCGATCGGCTAGATAACCACCCAGTGGAATGCCCACAAACTGCCCGATATTGTTTACTGTGCCCACCATCGATAGCTTCCATTTGTCGGCACAGAAGATGCCGAACTGTTGGGATAGTGCTCCAAAAATGCATATCATTATCATTTCGAAATCCACCGGACCTTACCTCGCTAGCAATTGTTTTATCCTCATTTCTCAACTTAAAGCCCGCATCACAGTTGACGCGCTGATCCACATCGAAACTGCCGGCGTTGCACGACGAATCACCCACCAAATCCGATCTTACGGAAAAGTGCTGGCACTGATCCCAGTTCCCGTGGCGTTGTGGGGTGGTAAAGTTGAGGAAGGCTTCGTCATAGCTGGTGTCCAAGCCATCGCACTGAGTGATGTTGCACCTGTGAAAAAGGTTCGGCTTAGGATGGCAATAGCAATGACCAGGCGACCCCACCTGTGGAGCACATCACCGGCTGTGAATACGAAGGAAATGGAGTAGAAGGCGTTGCAGATGATTGGCAAGCAGAGCAAAATGTAGTTGAAGATCTGAAAACGACCGAACTGCCCGATCTCAACGATGATAGCGTCCAGCTGGCTCTCCTCGGTCGCCTTGGGTGGGTTTGCAGCGCCCGGTCCGGTTTCGGACTTCTCCTGAACCGCCTCCAGTGTGGGCTGCAGTTTGAACATGCTGCTGCCGATATCGCCGAGCGACGCCAAGTGACTGAGTACGGCTTGGAAAGCCGCACACCCGACGCCTAATGCCCTTAATTGGCTGAGTTATTCACGGCGGAGAGATCCGTCCCCGGGCAGTTCCCCCGACGCTTTTTCACACGTTCAATTACCCAAGCACGCCCACTGAAGCCCGGATTTAATTGCCGGATTAAGTAACGGCGATGAACGGCTCAAGTGCAGTCTTCTCCTCAAGCTGGCAGGTGAATAAACTTTCAGCATATCACGAACTCAGCGTGGCCATTGTAATGTAATTATGCTTTTATTGTTCAGATTCAATGAAAGAATTAAAAATATCACTTGATCTTGTTGTTTTTGTCGTAGGAGAGTGTGCTTGGGTGAGTGGGTAAATAGGGGGACTAGGGAACTAATATATATATGTAAATAGAGTACAAATACTTTAAGGTTTCTAAAGCTTAATTCAAAGGAAACTTGGATTAACATTGCGTACGAATACAAATACAGGTAGAGAGGAGGTTTCCCCATTTGCTACCGAACATAAATCTTCTTTAATATGGCAACTACCGCATAAATGCGGGACGAGCTAGTTATTTTTACAACCTTCAGCTCAGGAGTTCTTCCCCGTCAGCTTAGCTCCATAAATCATTTCAGGCTTCAGTTTCCGAATGTTGCGCTTTGTGTCAAACAGAAATGTCAATAAATAATGCCTCGTTATGGGTGTATCCTAAAGCTACATACATGTCGACCAATTTATGGAGTAGAAGCAAAGTATTTCGTGCTCACTACTTTGCTACGTTAATATCAATCAATCTTATCGATTTTCAATATGATAATTTCGTTTTTAACTAGTTTAACGTGGATTGTATAGCGACTACAGGTTGTACATGGGATTGCTGGTAGCGTCGAACAGCTGGGTTCCCGTGGACTCAATCATGGACCTCAGGGCAATGCTCCGCTGTTTGGCCACCGCCTTGCGAAGCGTTAGCTCGAACACGTTGTCTTCGTCTATGTTGTCCATAGGCATGTGATCCCTGTGTCCCTCTTTTCGGTTTGGAGTTTTAAACACGAGCTCATCGTGCTCATAAAGGACACATGTCTCTGCAAATTCCTTGGCGAAGTACTGCGCAGTGTTCCGGTTTTGAATCACCTCGCTGGGAAAGCACTGCAGCAGCTCTTCAAAGCTCAGTTCGGCCACCAGGTTGTTTAGTATCTCTGCATTATTTTTGAAAATAATTATTCAAAGCATTTTAATGTAGTTTTTCTCACAAACCAGAAATATGTTCCTTCCAGTTGGGCAGCGTTTCCTGCTTGCTGAGAATCTTACGCAATAGGCTCTCCCAGTGCTTGGGCGTGAAACCGCAGGACTGCAAGAAAACAACAAGTTATTTATAATATTTCTATAATTACACCAATGCAATATGTCAGATTAATTTGGCACTACCACTCACCTTTCCATACTGCCACAAAAATGCGGGACAGAAACTAAGCATGTAGTTTATGGCCAAGTTCTTGGGCAACACGATCACCAGGAAACTGTCGATGCCCATTAAATGCGGTGCCTTCTGTATGAAGCCTAGAAACTCGGAGATAACCTCGCGATCCACCTTTGTGGATGCTAACAGACTCTGAATCTTCAAGGTGAGAGTCAACAACTCATTATGCCAGCTGAGGAAGCGCACCTCGAACTCGCCGTCGTCCTTGTTCGGATAGCTGAAGTCGCTGCGCTCAAAGGGCGGAAGGCGATTTAGATACTGAGGTCGGTCCAGCAGGCAGGGAATCGGTCGAATGTAGCTTTTGATGTGGCGATCATACTCCTCTTCATCGGGCAGCTTGTAGTCGGGAATGAAGGGTACATAAATCAGCTTCCCTGCCAGCGGATCATTGGGATTCTTTACGACCGGCTTGGGGCAGTAATTCGGCGCCATTCCCACCATGTAGGAAATGCACTCCATACGCAGGTTCATGAACTCTTCGCGGCTCGCCTGTTGCTCCACGTCCGCTGACTGCAGGTCCGTAATGAGATCACTGAGGGCCTTCAGCCGGCCCATGTACATACGAAACAGGATCTTGAGACCCTTGAGATTAGTAGCAGCCAAATCGTCATCCGCCTGGGGCTGTGAGAGCGAGGCATTTGAATTTCGCTTCTGAAAGGGCGAAGACTGTTGCTCCTGCAGCTGGTCGTAGACGATTCGCTGCTGTCTGCCGCTGATCGAGAGGCTCGCCGAGCGCTCCTCGTGTGCTGAACTGGCGCAGGAGCTGGACAATGACTGGGCATCCGCCTCGCTGTGCAGCGAGGGAGCCCGCGAACTGCTGCACTCCTCGTCGTAGTCGTCGTCCAGCTGTGGCGGCGTTTGCGAGCGAATCTCGTGGGGCTGCAGGGACGAGCTAACGTCGTAGATGTCGTAGAAGTACACCTGCAGAATGTTCACAAACACCTTCTGCGAGGTCTGGTATCCCTTCTGCCCAATGTGCGAGGCGATGTAGTTGAGGAACAACTGCAGAATGACGTCCAGCGTCAAACTATGCTCGATGCAGAGCGCATGGATGAAGGCATCGCTGATCGCTTCGATCAAAGCTGGCTGCTCGTTGGCCAGCAGAATCGTCTCGCAAAAGTCGGAGAAGGACACGATGGCGCTCGGGGTTGGTGTACTGACCGCTGCGGGCTTACTCTTTCCACCGATTCGTCGGGATTTCTTGGCTCGCGAGCTTGATGCCTGGCACTCCGCCTGCTGCTGATGGCGTCGCTGATAGATCACAGTACTGTCATCGAACAGAACATTCTTGTGCCGTATCAAGGCAGTGGCGAGGTTGCGCCTAGTAGACTTGGAAATTATCTCCTGGGCCAGCAAATAGTTGGACATTCGGCAGGCGGTTACAGCCAGCAGCAGATTTTCATCGGGGGAACTATAGGATAAACCAAAACAGATTACTAAGAATATCTGTACCGATATGCTTCATTAACTTACAGCTTGTTCAAATACTTTAGATAGTTAATCAGCTCCCCACTCATGGAATCGGCCACAACCGGTGAGATCAGCATTATCTGCGGAATCTCCACAGGTGCATGTTTAATGAACATGTTGAGGAACTCGAGCGATAGTGGCACCTGTTTGTAGCCCTGTTGGATGACCCGGGCTGGCGTAAAGTACGGACGAACAGTCTGGTTCAGGAATGCCGACTTCAAGCGATCTGTCCCCAGACCGAGCAGGAACAGCTTAACCGCGTATATCAGTCCCGCAAGTTCACTGCTCTCCACGGTCTCATCGCTGTCCATAAAGTTATCTATGTAGTTGTTAAAAATGTCTACCAGATGAAGCTGGCACATTCTGTAGAATCCTGTAGCCTGAAGATAGACTTCCTGCTTGTTCGACCTGAAAAAGAGATTAGAGAGATTAAATACAAATCTTAAACGAAAATGTAGATCTTTGTAGTAAGCTAGCATTTCTGGCTAATATCTTGCTCACCATCACCAGCCGATGTTTTTCAACAATATATATTTTCATATTTTGGCCACAATATTATAATATTATATACGGTACAAATTAGAGCCCTGCATGGATGGATTCAATGAACTATTTTGAATTTTTTGTTTTATATGAATGAATGAATTAATTAGAATTTTGACTTTAATAGAATTCAATGAATTTGAATTTTGAGTTTAATAAAATTGAATGAATGAATGGCATGAATTCCGAAATAATTCAAACCACAATTTCTTTTGAAGAAGCAAGGGACATAATTATACCCGTTACTCGTAGAGTAAAAGGGTATATTGTATTCGTGCAAAAGTATGTAACAGGGAGAAGGAAGCGTTTCCGACCCCATAAAGTATATATATTCTTGATCAGGATCACTAGCCGAGTCGATCTAGCCATGTCCGTCTGTCCGTCTGTCTGTCCGTCTGTCCGTCTGTCCGTCTGTCTGTCTGTATGAACGCTGAGATCTCAGAAACTATAAAAGCTAGAAGATTGGCATTTTGCATGCAGATTTTAGGAGTTCATACGCAGCGCAAGTTTGTTTCAAAATGGTGCCACGCCCCCTCTAACGCCCACAATCGCTTATATACGATTTTAAAATTTTAATATTTTGGAAAAGTAAAAATGCAGTTTTATTGTGTTTATCAATACCTATCGAAATGTAGAAGAAATTTTTCAAATCGGACCATTCGTTAAAAAGTTATGCGTGATCAACGTTTTCTATCTCTATCTCCATCTCCCTCGCACTCCCTTTACCTGAGTAACGGGTATCTGATAGTCGGGGCATCCGACTATAACGTTCCCTCTTGTTTTGTGATTAAATCTGCCTAAATTTTATTTATTTATTTTTATGCAGTTAACGTTGATTTGTTAAAAATTTTCCACTTTTTGATCTCAAAAAAGACACAAAAAAAACTTGAAAAATCCAAAAAATTCATAAAAAATATTAATTTATTCATTCAATTCGAAATGAACTAGAAAAATTAATTAATTAATAATTAGAAAAATCAATTATTTCACATAGAATTGAATTAAACAAATCAGAAATTTCATGGCATACTATGATAAAACAAAAATTGAATGATTCATGATTTCTTTCCTTACCGTATTGAGAAATCCGCCAGTTTTCTGCAGTTGGCCACAAACATTTTCCGAAGCATTAGCTCCCGCTCCGCACCCAAGCGTTCGCCCTGCAGCGTGAGACTCAGTCGCAGCATGACATGCGCCTCCTCCATGAGATCGTAGAAGTTGCAGCTACTCGCACTGCGGTATGAGTCCGCAATGCCCTCAAGATCCTCGATGATGCACTCCACCCGCGGCACCTCCAGGTTGTACAGCGTCCACTCGTTGGCCACCGTCGACGATTGGGCTGCACTGCTGCTCCTCAGCAGACTGCTGTGCTTGGCCTTCGCCTCGGCCAACAGGCGGGCGGCGATGTTTCTTTTGACAGCCACCACTTGGCCACCGGGCACCTCGCCCATGCTCCGCCGCTTGTGCTGCTCCAGAGCTGCATTCGTGATGAGCACCAGCTGCTCCCGGTTCACACACACAAACTGAACGTGCATGAAGGCGGCCAGACCTACGACGGCGATGGGCGAACTCACATCAGGGGAGGATTCTTCCGGAAAAAGGCCGCCAATCGAGGGATACTCGAAGCGATTGTGAAAGAGCTTGTGGCCAATGCGCGAGGTGTGCGTCTCCACAGACTCAGAGGTCACCGCATAGACCACGTAGTCATTTATGTGGACCTGAATGATGGGAGCCGTGAAGCTGTAACTGGCCACTGGCTTCTCGTTTTCGCTGTACCATTTTCCTTGGGCGGAGAACTGGTACAGGAAGCCGTCCACACTGCTGGCCACCAGGAGAGCGTGCCCCATGCACCTCTGATGCTGCGACGACTTGAGCGTCCGGCGGTTGACGTGCTTGAAGGTGGTCACCGCACTGGGCACCTGTTGGTTGCCCATGTCGTACTCGTCGTCCTCCTGGTCCGCTCCCTGGCTGCTCCGTTGATAGATGGCCTTTAGGTCCATGCAGCGAAAAATGTCCAAAACACGCGGCTGGTTCTCCGAGGTCTTCATGCAGATCTGCAGCAGCTTTCGCACATCATACTGCACCGATGCATCATCCAGATGGCTGCCCCCCGCGATGCCCCGCACGTTCATGGCCTTGGCCTCGTTGACCAGCTTGATCTTAATGTCCGGGGCTCGCTGAGGGCCTATCGTGATATCCTGACTATCCTCCTGGCCTTTTCCCGCTCCGAAGTCACTCTCGTCCCACTGGGAGCGCAGCTCTGGCTCGAATTCCCGGCCATAGGCATTGTTTACCAGCTTGGCCACGTTGAAGTCCAACGGTGACCGCCCCGGCAAGGCGCCGTTCATGACCACCTGCGGTTTTCCACTGCTCGTCGACTGCAGGGAGTCGCTCTCGCAGCTCTGCTGGCTGTGGCTGGAGCTGACCACGCCCCCGCCAACGCCACTGGCACTGGCCTTGCTGCCCAGGCTCAGGGATTCCGAGAGCGGCTCGTCCACGGCACCGTAGTCGTTGTCCAGACAACTCACATCCTGCCCTCCGCTTGCTCGGCTCGCGAGTGCATCCACCACCTTGAAGGCCACGCAGTAGCGGTGACTCAGGCAGGCGATCACGTTCTCCGCCAGGCACAGACGCACGGGGACGAAATTGAGCTGCACGAAGAACTTGAAGGGCAGGAAGTCAATGAAGGCGAACCGGGGCTGGGTGTTCTCGTGCACGCACTGCGTGTATTCGTACAGGTAGATCCTGTCGCGGCTGCTCACGATGATGTTGCCCGACGTCTGGCAGCACTGCACCAGCTCCGGCGGACTGCGCAACGGCAGCTCAATCACATCGATGCTCTCCACCAGCGGCGTTTTGGGCGTGGTCATCGAGGCTATGCGGATGGTGATGGGCAGCTCGTTCAGCCGGCTGTCCGGGAACTTCCAGAAGTTGGCGTAAATGCGTACGAACATTTTGGTGTCGTCCTCGGAGCAGACCGTGTTGCTGTTGCTGCTCGAGGTGCAGCTGATGGTGGAGGAGGAGTGCACCGGACTGCCAGCCTGCTCCTTCTCCAGCGTGAGCAGGTATTTGCCTAAGGGAGATTCATTTTTAGTTGCTTAGTCGGTGGATATTACTTTTAACTCACCAGCTTCGCAGTATATCAGTTGGACCACCTCGCCCACCGTGGCCAGCGTGCTCCTGCTGGGCGTCTTCTCATCGCCCCCGGCGGTGGAAGCTTCTCCGGCCACCTCGTTGGATTGGACCTCATCCGGTGCGTCCTCCGACTGGGCTGGCTTGCCCGCTATGTCGTAGATCTCGATGAACTGCTCCGCACTGCTGATGGCTATCCGGTTGTTTCCCACGAGACTGGCCGCCAGGATGTCGCCGTTCAGGGCGTAGGTCTGTTGCCTGGCAAAGTTGTAGGCCTGCAGGATCTTCACCATGGTGGCTTACTGGGGAAAAGATCAGGGGATTCTTTCACTTCGGTACTCTAGAACTGCAAACTACGCCCTCGGTTGAGTGGAGTGACTTCATCGCCGGACGCACACAGACTGATGGCCTCACCGTGAATGAATCGCTAGAGCTGAGAATTCTCTGGCACAGAGTGAGACCGAGAAGGGGGGAGAAGTCCGAACGGGAGTGGGATGGCGAACCGCTTGGCGGGGGCTCAGTCAAGTGGTTCTTGTTTGGGCATGTGAACCATTAGCATAATTGTGGGCTTATGCTGAGGTCGGGGAACGGGCGAGTGGACGAGCGGACGAGGGCTAACGCAGAAGGGCTAGAGATAGGGATAGGTCGTTCACAGAGTGAAGCAATTAATTTTGATTAGCGTCATAGCTGTGAAGCTTTATATTACTGCCATTCAAGCCACTGATGATCGCAATTATCAACCAAAACAATATCATGTTAGTGTAAAGTAAGAATTTATCTTTTAATACAAATTAAAAGTAAAGTAAAAAGTAATCTTATTACTTTCTGGCTTAAAATATTTAGTAGCACTGTTTAAAACACCTTCTTGAATGGTTTCACACCGCCAGAGATTTCTGTGGCACCCCCGAGTTCTACCTAAAATCCACCTACATGACAAACAATTGTATATCACAATAGGTCAGTGCTGCACCTTCACTTCCGCTGGAATTCCTGCGGTGTCCTACGCTTTGGCCATAAAGTAAACAGACATGAAATTAGGTCACAACAGTATACAAAAACACGCCCTTCCTGACCTACACCGCCCCCTTCCTCCCGCCATCCTCGGGCCGATTAAAGACCCACTTGAAGAGGGTTCGGCCCGCGATTCCGCCTCCCATTCCGACTGGCTATACGTGAGTTAGCCTAATTAAGCCGTTGGACATACACTGGACATACACTCGCCGCATCAATCAAAACAGCCGGCAAAGAGGAGGAAATCGGAAGAGAGGGTGCCGGAAATAGAGCCCGTTTCGACGGGGCGAATTTATTTTTGGTCGCTTGGTCAAATCAATAAATACGGCGATCATAATCCGTGCATTAACCCAAATAAACTTGGGAAGCGGAAAAGCAAGGATAGGGAAATATAAAGGGTGGGGAAGGGGGTTTCCCCGGGACGTGTGTATGTATGTAAATTGCATTTTGGCAGCGGCATTCAGAGAAAAATCAATAGCTTTACAGTTTCTTTGATTGGGACACTACCGAATATGGGTAATAATTGACACTTCTTGACCATTACGTATTTCAGTTTAAATAATTTACTCAGGAAAAAGCCTTACAAAGATTTTACGTTTTTTTTCAACAGAAAATCATTTACCACTTTAGGTTGCTCAGTTGTCCCGGCAATTTTTTTTATTTTCAACTAGCGGCTTTTATACCGTATAAATATAACATAACGCCGGACCGCACATTTTTATATTTTCTCGTTTGTTTATAGTTTTTCCGAGTGAAAAACAACAATAATCAAAAATATTCAATAAAGTGTGGCCAAGTGTGTATTACGAAAAAATATACTGCAGAAAAGATGAAGCATAAAGTAGTATTTTTCGGTTGAAATAAACTACACCAGACTACAAGTTATTTAAACGAGTTTGGGTATTGCTTTATTGAAAATTCAATAGACAATTTCAGCAATAATGGCCACCTTCCTATTATGGACCGGTTAATTTGTTAATTATAAATGGCATCTTTATTGTTAGTTAATGTTTTAAATTGTTTCTGTGTGATAAATTACAAAATAGTAGGGGGATTCCCTAAACTGTGAAATTGCTGAATTGTTGAAAATTCAACAAAAAATTTCAGCAATTAAGGGAACGACCCAAAATGGTTCCTGTTGAATTTTCAAACAGCTGTTATTTGTTGAAAAGTTTCGCGGAACTTAAAGCATGTAAAATTTGATTTATTATTGCCAGTTACTGTCTAAAAGTGTTATTAAGGTAAAAAGAACCACAAATATGCTTTCTAAGTTTATTTTAAAATAAATAATGCGTACTGGTGATACTAAAATGTTACAGAGTTGCCACGACTTTAAAAAAAAAGGTGACAACTCTGGCTTTTCAACAATTGTTTCTGCTGTTTTTTTGTTGATAAATATCAAATAACAAATTTTATAAATCAATCACTGAGAAGATTTCGGAATTATAAAATTCATTTAATTTGATTATTGTCAATAAATTTACAACTTTTAATAAAGTTCTACCTTAATATTAATGTTTTTAAAACTCTAAGGGCCGTTTTCTCGACCGCCTGTTAAATTTAAAGTAGGGTTAAAACTCTGAATTCCCATACGATTTCAACGTTTTAACCCCACTTTAAATTTAACAAACGGACAAGAAAATTGGCCTAAAACTAACAGCTGATCGGAGAGGTTACTAACAGGTTCGGGTAATTCCAGTGCTTGCGTGGTTTGAAATCACGACTTCGGATTTAAATTAGATAAAGGCTTGGCCTATGCAGATTAAACCCGAAATTGATGCATGATACACTTTCTTAAAAATATATAAAACTTTTCATTTTATTATAATGGAAATCACTTTCAAAATCTTCTAGGTATATTCATTTTCTTTTTAACTTAATAAGAAACAAATTAAACAATTCACCAGATAGATTTGGTTGGTTTGCGTTAGATTATTTCTTTAATTATCTTACTTATACTTATGTTTTAATAAATAAAAATGATATTTCACGTTTCTGGGTGTTTTGGTCCAAGATTCACCTCGATGGATTTTTCATCCCTTGGCCTAATTAGCATTTTACACGATTTAAGAGAATAACCATTTCTCATATTCCAACGACCCCACCAAACACCATCCCAGTCAACTTTAACTTTAAATCCATTGTATGTTCCGTTCAAAAAACTGTAAAAATAATTAAAAAGCAAATAATCAGTTACTCTTACACTTAGGTTATTTTCAGTTTTGGGGAGTACCTAATTAGGTACCTAAGCAAGTACAATTTTACATATGTAGGTACATTTTTCAGTCAATGTATTAAATGTATTTACTTATGTTACTCTTACCATTCATATTCGCTTGATCGCCACCACCAATCATCAGCAAATGCGCAATTAATATGGCTACGTAATGCATCGCCAGCATTTCCTGAGTAGTCACCTAGAGAAATCAACTTGTAGTTTTCTTCGCTTCTTCCAACCACAAAGTGATCATATCTGGCAAAGGCTCTAGCATCGTCAAAATCGACTAGTTCAACATATAACTCATATCTACGGCTCATAGTCAGCTTATGCAGTTTTTCAAGACCTAGCCAGAATTCGGTTCCTAGATCGCCAAATCCATCTTTATACGAGTTCTGTTTTGGATTAAAAGAGACACTTCCATCGATACGCCGTTGTATGACCATCCAGGAACCGGCAGATGCAATTTCCTCAAAAACCGCTGGGAAGGGCTCTAAATCAGGAAACGATACCATTCTAATCGATGGAATTTTAGTGCCGTTGAGAAATATAAAGGATTTATCCGAATTTTGGCAACTTTCAGCACCTATGTTAAACTTAGACAATTTTTTGTTCATTTCACTTATGTTTGCTTCATAGCTTTTAATTTTGGATTCTAGCTCGGCATCACATTTTTGTGTCTTCCTGATCCATTCGACAAGCTCTTCATCCTTTTCATGAATTGTAGATTCCAATTTAACAATTTTGGCTTTGGATTCGGTGAGTTCGTACTCTAGCTTTTCGATTTGCTTGTCTTTCTCACTTAGATTGTTTTCATATTCATTAATCTTCTCTTTTTCTTTAATTAAAGCCGGACACTTGCTCAAAGCGAGTTCATTTTCTAGCTCCAAAATTTTACTTTGCAATTGTTTTACGCTCAAGTCTTTGGTTTCCTTGGTTAGCGTGATTAAATCGTCTTTGTAATTGGACTTTTCCTTTTCATTTGCCAAATGAATTTCGGCAATGGTCAACTTGGCAACCAGATCATTTATCTTTGTGTTGTTCTTCCTAATCGTCTTCCTTAGTCCTTGTACGATCCTCCTTTGATCGCCGCTTGCACAGCTGATATCTTCAATATCCGAATCGCTGCTGAGCTGGAAAAAATATTGGATTTGAGCTCACAGTTCAATAATGACTATATCTTATAACTTACCGAATTGTTTTCAGTGGTTGAGTCTTCCACTGATCCTCGAGGTTTCTGCGAAAAATTGCTCAAGTTCTCAGGTTTCATGGCGATCAATGTACCAATGCGCAATTTCTTTGTTTCACTATTCACTATTATAAAATGAGATGTTCCTTACGTTTTATCCATTAATTGTGAAAAATAAAACATGTAAACCATAGACTAGAGGTGGGGAAACATCGATGGAAACATCGATGCATCGGTGTTCTACAATTTTTTAGAAACATCGATGTTTTTTGGCGACAATCGATGTTTTTGTAACATTACCAATTTTAAAGAAATAGGCGGAAAATGTGTTTTTGATCTAATTTTACTGTATTGTATTTAACTGGTGGTGTAGGATGGAAGCGGCGGTGGATTAAGCTTTTCATAATACCATCCTAAAATACTATAATGTGAATATGCTGATCACTTAAATATTGATGATCAATTTTGTTAAATATATTTTGCCGAGTAAAGCCTTTGTTTATTTTGTTTTTAAATGAACTATATAAGTTTTTTATTTAAAGAAAAAAATAATAATAGGGGGATTCCCTAAACTGTTGAATTGCTGAATTGTTGAATTTTGGTCAGCTGTTAATCAGCTGTTCCATACAAAGCCAACTTTCAGAAATTTCAGCAATTTATCAGCCTCGGGGCTGTTGAAAATTTTGTTGAATTGCTGAAAAGCCAGAAATGTCACCTTTTTTTAAAAGTCGTGGCAACTCTGTAACATTTTAGTATCACCAGTACGCATTATTTATTTTAAAATAAACTTTGAAAGCATATTTGTGGTTCTTTTTACCTTGGTAACACTTTTAGACAGTAACTAGCAATAATAAATCAAATTTTACATGCTTTAAGTTCCGTGAAATTTTTCAACAAATAATAGCTGTTTGAAAATTCAACAGGAATTATTTTGGGTCGTTCCCTTAATTGCTGAAATTTTTTGTTGAATTTTCAACAATTCAGCAATTCAACAGTTTGGGGAATCCCCCTATTGTCTTTTGGCAACAATTGGAATTTGGGTAGGCCGCCTGTTTTTGAATGTCACTTACCTGTGGCCGTGGGCACAGGATATAATCAAATGTATTGGCTATAGTGGAAATACACATTTTTTTTAGATTTGGGTAGTACCATACCTCGTTTGGTATTTTCAAAAAGTCCAAGCACGGTCTTACTACTGGCGCGCAGGGCAATTTCGCGCAATAATACGAAATGAAACCATGACCAGCTCACGCAGCCATGTCAGTATGCAGAGCAAGTACGACCGCGTGGTCCTGTTGGTGGACATGGACTGCTTCTTCTGCCAGGTGGAGGAGAAGCAGCAGCCGGAGTACCGCAACCGCCCCCTGGCCGTTGTCCAGTACAACCCGTGGCGCGGAGGCGGAATCATTGCGGTGAACTATGCGGCGCGGGCCAAGGGAGTGACGCGCCACATGCGCGGGGACGAGGCCAAGGACCTGTGCCCGGACATCGTCCTCTGCCAGGTGCCCAACATCCGGGAGAAGGCCGACACCAGCAAGTACCGAGATGCCGGCAAGGAAGTGGCCAACGTGCTGCAGCGCTTCACGAAGCTCCTGGAGCGCGCTTCCGTGGACGAGGCGTACCTGGACATCACGGAGACAGTGAGCCTGCGAATGCAGCAGATGCAGAGCGTAAGCGATTAGCCATCAATAGAAGCCGTTTCCGTTATCGCTTTATTTATTCGTAGGGAGCCTTTGCTCTGCAGCCCCAGGAACTCGTAAACTCCTTTGCCGTGGGCTACCCCAACATCGGCGACTACGTCAACAAGATCACGAACCGCTTCGCCAATCCCTACATGGACGACGAACGCTTCCAGATGTCCTACGACCAAAACGACCTCCCCGCCGTGCGGCAAAGCGACATTCGACTGCTCATCGGTGCCTCGGTGGCCGGAGAGGTGCGGGCGGCTGTCAAGAAGGAGACCGGATACGAGTGCTCGGCCGGGATAGCGCACAACAAGATACTGGCCAAGTTGGCAGCCGGCATGAACAAGCCCAACAAGCAGACCATCCTGCCGCTGGCGGAGACCGCTGCCCTGTTTGATTCCCTGCCTGTGGGCAAAATCAAGGGGCTGGGCGGCAAGTTCGGCGAGGTGGTGTGCGAGACCATGGGCGTTAAGTTCCTGGGCCAGCTGGTCAAGTTTACGGAGGCCGAACTGCAGCGCAAGTTTGACGAGAAGAATGGGTACGTAGTGTGAGAGAACCGAGCTCTGTTCGTAGTAATTTATCCAATTTTATTCCAGTACCTGGCTGTTCAACATCTCCCGCGGCATCGACCTGGAGGCAGTCACTCCGCGCTTCTACTCCAAGAGCATTGGCTGCTGCAAAAAGTTTCCTGGGCGGAACAACATCACGGGATTGAAAACCCTGCAGCACTGGTTGGGCGAACTTTCCTCGGAGATCAACGATCGGCTAGAGAAGGACTTCATCGAGAACAATCGCAGGGCCAAGCAGATGGTGGTGCAATACGTGCAGGACATTGACGGCGAGGAGGTGGCCAGCTCCCGCTCAACGGCTCTCAAGGATTACGACCAGGAATCGATCGTAAAGTATGCCTTGGACCTAATCAAGGCCAACACCAAGACGTTCCTGCGTGCCGGCAGCGAGGCTGCTCTGAACAATGCGATCAAGTTCCTGGGCATCAGCGTGGGCAAGTTCGAAACAGTTTCTAGTGCCCAGAATAAGTTGCAGGAGATGTTCGCCAACCAGGCTGCCAAAAAACGCAGAGTCAGCGGAGAAGAGCCAGTGCAACCCCCAAAGGTTCAAATGGAAAAGAAGCCGAAGCAGACGGAGGAGTCAAAGATGAAGAGTTTTTTTGCAAACTATCTGCAAGGGGCCAAGAAAGAGGACACAAAGCCGTCTGAAGCTGCGACAAAGAAGAGTTTCGTCGAGGAGTACAAGCAGAAGCTCCATGAGACTACAAAGTCGGAGGCAGCTGCCGAGGGAACTGCTCTCACCTCAACGCCGCCGGAGTTCAAGGAAAGCTTCTTTTCCCAGTTCCTGAAACAACAAAAACAGACGCGGCAGCAGGACTCAGAGTCAGTGGGCGAGGACTCGTCAGATATCCAGGGCTTGGCGGAGGAACTGGACGCCATTGAGGCTAGCAATACAAAAGAGGATGCCGTGAAGACTAGCAACACTAACGATTTTGATGAAGACACTGAAGAGGAGACGGAGCTAACTGGTAATATCCGTAAATCACCCAAAGTCTTGCGGGAGGAGCAGCCAACTAAATCAAATTCTACAACACGGATGGAACTTCCCATATCCACCAAAGCAAGTATAGCGCCTGATCTAACTATACTTCCTCCTCTGACTGAAGAAGAACTGCAACCTTCAACGTCGAAGAGGAAGTTTGATGAGCTTGATACTTCTGCCAAAAACTACAAGGAAAGCTACGCCGAGTTTGCTGTCCCCGAGCTCCGCACCGATCTTCTGCCCATGATCAAATGCGATCAGTGCGGAGTGAACATACCCGATGACGTCAAGTCTCTGCAAACGCATAGAGATCATCACTTCGCGCAGGAACTAAGTCGAGAGCTGAGGAGCAACGAACGGGAGGAGAGAATGCAGAGTCGCCAGAAGGTTTCTCCTAAGCCGACGCCATCGAAGAAAATTAAAAAGACAAGTGCTTCTGGCACTTCAAGTTCCTCAGCTCGACCGACTAACACCATAGCCAAGTTCTTCAGCGTCAAGGCGGCTGAGCAGCCACCATCCAGTGATGCTCAGATGCAGCAGTGCACCGAGTGTAAGGCCTTTATCAAGAACGTGGACATGCCGGAGCACCTGGACTACCACGTGGCCAGGAATCTGCAGCGCGAACTTAACCAACAGGATATGCGCACTCGAACCGCGGCCCTTGGCAAGGAAAAGACATCCCCTGCCCAGCAAAAAAACAAGAAGCAACTAAACGCAACTATTGCCGGTTCCTCAAGTGGAAACAAGACAATTGCACAGTTCTTCAGCCAAAGCCATTAATTTCCGTCTATTTTACCGAATTTAGATTGCTTTCTAAGAAGGGACCGCAAACAGCTTTAGCTTATCATTATATTGATCAGTTACTGTAGGATCTAAGCGAAATCAAAAATGAGAACATAGCTTTTGTTTAAAAATATCCAACCAATTTACATTTCTTTCTATTTTTCGATTCCGGTTTTATACTGAATCAAAAAAGCAAAAAATATAATTAAGTTTGTTTACACATAACTCAGGTATAAAATTCTCAATCAGGCTCTGGACAGCAAATTGATTTGAGCATTTTTTGTTTGTTTTGTTAAATATAAGTTTCGTGCTCTACACAGCCAAGTGAACAATACCACTTTTTTGTTATTTGTAAATTTATTCACGTTTATAAGCTCTTAAGGTCAAGGCGAGCCATGAAGCTCATTTATTATCATTTGTACATTTGTTTTTTTTTCCAATTTCATAGCCTAGCTTAAGTATCAATGTTGAACATTACCAATTTCCATCCGATAATAAATAAGGCCCAGTGATCTATAATGCTAAAAATATTATATATATTGTTTATTCTTAGAGTTATAACACATTTAAAGAGAAATGTCTTTGTATTTGCAGGCTGCCTTAGGATAAGATTATGTTACTGATTACTTCGTTTGACTTGCCGCCACGACTAGATCAAGATCCTTGCCCTGAGAGGGCTTCTTTTTGACGCCGATGGCATCTGCTTCTTGCACTGTGGTGGGCAGGACGACGTTGGTGGTCTCCGGGAAGAACAGGGTGAGCAATCCGCTGACGATGGCGGCGCCAGCAAAGAGCATGGCGGGTGCACTGGCATAATACTTGGCCTGTGGCGGAGAGAGAACAGATGACTTAGATACGAACAGAGGAGCATCTGCATCGAGTACCCACCAGAAGAGGCGTTTGTGGGGCCAGCATAGAACCGAACCTGCCGATCATCGAGCAGAAGCTGAGAAGGCTGTTCCTCAGATTCGTGGGGTAGATCTCCGAGGCGAAGAAGTAGAGCACCTGAAAGCTGGCGGTGATTGTGAGTTTGCCGATGAGGAACAGCACCAACTGCAGCACCGGCTGATCCGCGCCAGCAAAGATCGTTCCAATGCAGCAGAGTCCGCTGAGCAACATCAGGCCGCAGAGGGAGTACCGCCTGCCGAAGCGGTCCATGATGAGCAGGGGCATGAAGAAGCCGGGGATCTCCACGAGGGCGATGAAGGCGAAGTTGTTGTACTTGTCGCCGTCGAGCAGCACCACATTGAGGCTCAGGCCGTAGTAGACCAGCACATTGACGATCCAGCAGAAGGAACAGTTGGCGATGCGCCACTTGAAGTTCTTGAAGGCTGCGCGGATGGGAAAACGGCTCTCCGACGACTGCTGCAACTTGTCCCGATTTGCCAGGACGAGTTTGTCCAGCATGGTTTCCGGCAGCTCGCGCTTGTTGACACTGGCCGCTCGGCGCAGGATGTTCTTGGCCCGCTCCTCCTTACCCTGACTGAGCAGCCAGCGCACGCTCTCCGGCAGGATCCAGAAGTAGGCCAGCAGGATCAGCGAGGGCGTGTAGGTGATGCGCAGCAGGATGCGCCAATCGGAAAAGGCCTTGGCGGACATGGCCAGCAACACCTCCCCCACCGCGTAGAAGACGGTAATCACGCTGCAGGCCAGGACCCGCCGCTTGGGTCCCACCAGCTCGATTCCGATGACAAAACATGTGGAGTACAGCGTGCTGCTGGTCATGTTGTCCAGGAACTCGAACACCAGGAACCAGCCATAGCTGGGCGAGAAGGAGCGTATAACGCCTAGCACGGCGCCCAGAATGCCGCCCAGGGCAATCGAGAAGCTGCGTCCATATCTGATCAAAGAGATAGGGTTAGGCATGGGAATGAAAAATTAAGAAAACGGTGCTGGCTTACCGATCTGCTACATAGCCGCCTATGGGAATGCCGAAGAATTGTCCCAGGTTATTTATGGTTCCAACCATGGATAGCTTCCATTCATCATCGCAGAAAATGCCAAACTACAATGAAACTATATCTATGATGCAAATCTTTTGTAGTCCCAAGTAGGCCGCTTAATAAGTCTCTTAATTCTGTTGCCCATTCATCCCACATTATTATATTATTTCTATTTTTACGCTGCTTCTTATTTATGCTAAACATTCAACCTTGCGAAAAATGAATGGAAATATTAACTTAAATTGTAGCCTCATTCGACTACGAATATCTTAATCCGAATTTGTTTTCCGTGTTGCAATTGCTGTGCCTGTCTGTCTGGCAGCTGAGGCACTTATCTGCGAGCTACTGTTCTCCCATCAACGTGCCCAATTGTCTGATAAAGAATGTTTTAGCATGAAAGCTCATCAGGCCACTTAGGCAACAGCTACGAGATTATCATAGGGCACATAATCACCTGCTCAAAGGTTGGCACGTCAGATGTGCCCGCGAGAAATAAATTTGTTTACCTTATGAGTGGTAAAATTCCTCCATTATTCCTAAGTCGCTAACTAAATATTTTGAATTGTGTTTACCTTTGGACCTTCACAATGGTCTTTCTGTTGATTCAGCTGGAATAGTTGTTATATTGTTGTTATATTGAAGGCTCAATACCGTACAATCAATACGTTAAGAGTTTTACGATCATTGACTGCAATCCTATCTTCACTTTCTTAGCCCGTTTCAGGCCCCGTCTGAGTGCTTACAATTTGATTAAGATTGTGAACTCCTCACTGTCAGCTATCAGTGAAGTGTTTGCCGCTCAATTTAGTCATTGAACCCGTGTGAATGGATGGGATCCTCAACGGAAATGGGGTAACCTTCCCTTTGGTTCGATTATCTCAAAGCCCCTAGGTACTTCTAAGGTTGCATTCATAAATAGATCAGCCAATTAAGAGGCACTTGAAAAGATTTGTACAGGGAGAACTTTCAATGAGGACGGAGATTTTCTACACAAGGCAATAAATTCCTCACCGAAGTTATTACCTTCACTTATAAGCTAATCAATCTCTGATATTTTTTTGGATTTCGTTCTGATAATTCAAAGATAAGAGTGCGTTTGTTGTGATGAAACTCGGAGTATTGCCAAAATTGGGCGATTATTTTTAGTCTGCATTGGCTCATGCATTAGGAGCGTTAATCGGCTGACTTATTAACAAAGTCCAACGTCTGCCAGCGCAAGATTTTAGCGTCTGGCGTGCAGTTGTCGTAGTACCTGATAACAGCACCCCCAATGGCGCGGGACCTTTGATACTCACGTCATTCGAAATGGTAACTTCCTTATCGCGGAAAACGAATTTGTTGTCGGGGCAGGCTTCCGAAATACCCGTGAAGTGCCTGGGAAAGCAAATGTCCTCGCCCACCGACTGGTTCCAATGGGGCAGTTCGGAGTTTGTGTACCGATTGCAAGCATCCAGATCCTTGCCGTTTTTCGGTATACTAAACTCCGTATGCGGCTCGTAGTAGGAGCTATCGGGTAAGTCGCACTCTGCTATCTTACATCTGCCGACGAAGAGAAGAAATTCGGTATTCGGTTTTTCGGTTCATTGATTAACTAATTCACTAAAGATCCATGAAATGGCCATTGGCCATTATCTTCACCTGTGCGTCACGGTGGCCGCGGTAAACACATATGTGACCGAGAACATGGCGTGGAACATCATCGGCAGGCAGATCAGCACGAATATGATCAACTGGAAGCGCCCGAACTGCCCCAGATGCTTCAGGATGGCGTCCAGGGTGACGTCCTCGGAGTCCTTGGCAGGTGGCGGCAAGTTAGCCTCCACCGCCGCATCTGCGGGTGGCGCTACGCTGGCTGCCATTTACCAATCTCTGCCTCAGGCAATTCGAGGGCACAATTAACACAGGCGTTTTCGGTTTATTTATGCACTCGCGTTGCGTTATTTTCATTTACGGAATCTATATATTTATTTTTACCCACTACGCCGAGCACTTTAACGATGTGGTGTGTAGGGAGCCGCGTCTCGAACTGCGAATGGCCTGCTGCGATCTCCGGTTCGCGGTGCGCAATCAACGAGCGGTCACGATCGCAGTCCGTCGACGAGTGGGGGAGATCGTTCCGCCGACCAACTGTTGAGCGGAATAGGCGCCTTGATAAGACGGCCGGCCTCATGGGGCTCCAAGATTTGGGTAGGCCCGGTAGGAGATTACGCCGTGGTGTGTCGGTGCGGGATTGGCTGCGGTGAAAGTAGATCGCGGGATAGGGTGATAAGTAATCAAAGTCCAAGAGACAGGTTGCCTCACCAGATGTCTTGAGCTCAAGTATATTAATCTTTAACAACCTATCTTCCTGACGTTATATTAATAATAAAATATAATAACATCTTTGTTTCAGGATATAAACTTATTAGTGATCACCAGATAATGTTGCCCAGATGACAATATAAACCATTTGTGTATAAACCATTTGTGTCAGACTAGATTACTGAAAAATATATGCTATATGTAAATATATTCTTAATTAGCATTAAAAACCTAGTTGATTTAGGTATTTCCCTACGTTTGAATATCTAGATCTTAGGAATCAATTGCGCTAGTATCCGTATATAACTTTTCTGTCAAGTTCGACCCCTTTTAAGGGTCACGTGCCACAAACGTGATAGTTCCATAATTTATATTTCATTTCTTTTTCCGATTTGGCCAACAGCCAAACCATTAGGCGAACGCACTTGCTGTGGGGCAGAATATATATGTACAAGTCCATATACTATAGTGATATATATAGACATATATGTATGTTAATCATGTTCATGACCAGGGCTAAATATTTTTACATTAATGCAGGGAGTTCCATTGTGTTTCCAGTTTTTTCCCTATTAATGTGTTTATAGCATATTGTAAAGTGATTAAATACTTATATTTTTAATCACTAGGGTAGTCAATGTAAATTGCTTTTCCGCTTAAAAGCTGCAACTAAAAACTTATTCAGTTTTTAAATATAGCTGAGAAAAAAGTGCCCAACCAATTTTTGGTCCTTCTATATTTGTATTATTTTGTAGTTTTAATTTAATAAATTTAATTTAATTTAATAAAAAGTGAAAATCAGTAAAGAATATTCGGAAAACCAATCTTTTAATTCCCTAATATAAATAATATAATAATATAATATAATTCCCTAATAAGTATAATATATGTTTTCTACTAAATTTACATGGAGACCCATACATATTGTATAGATATTGGTATAATTTTAATGATAATTATCATACCCGCGAAATTTTTGGACTCAAGCTCTAACACTCAATATACTAACATGTATCAAATAAATATACTCGTACAAATCTACCTAATTAAATTACGAACATCTGACTGAAATTATAACATCATCAACTAGGGTATAAAAAGTGTGCGAGACCAGTATGAACTCGAATTGAAAACGACATACAGTAAAGACCCTCGTCTCGGAAGCAGCTTTCTTAGCGGAGTAAAGTTAGTATTCGGTATTAGTTTTATGCAAAAAGAGAACTAACTCGACCAGAAGTTACTCTATAAACACTGTTTTTTGCATTGAACGTTAGTGACAGCAA